TCTTCAATGTACTGCCTACTTCAAGCCCCCCCAAGCATTTCTGTGGGGTTAAGATCTTGGCTTTGACTTGACCATTCCATAACCCTCCATTTCTTCTTTTTGAGACATTCTTCTTTTTGAGGCAAGACTTGCCTGTAAATCCCTTGATGTTATCCTGGGGTTCTTGGAGACTTCCTGCAGCATCTTTTGGTCAGCTCTTGGGCTGAATTTCGTGGGACTACCTGGTCTGCAGAGATTGCCAGTGGTTTGAAATTTTCTCCATTTGTAGATGATCTTTCAGACAGTGGAGTGATTCATTACAAATTGCTTGGAAATGGCTTTAAAACCCTTCCAAACTCATAGACATCAACAGTCTTTCTTATGAGGGTTTATGTTGATTTACAAAGTACAAATGAGTGCAAAATGTGATTCGATGCTATTTTAAAAAATTAGATTACCTTTATCTATCAGTATTGTTGAAATGACAATCAAAACTGTAAAAAAAGACAAACCTTTTCATGGGGTGTACTTACTTTTTCACACAACTGTATTAACTAATTCATAAGACATGAGTTTGGAAGAGCACTATAGAACATTTTCTATTTCTCTTGTAGAGTGCTTTAAAATATTCTGTAATAGTCTGAGAATCTGCCTTGCTGAGCATATCTGTGAGAGAAGTGAGGTTATAGGTTTGATGATGGCTACTCTGTTTGCTAAAAAAGTAGGAACAATATGCTTCTCATCTCTTAAACTATCCTGTAATCTCTCTTAAATCTATCTCGATCCATTTAAATATTATAAATTATATTCAGCTCCTAGTGCCATCAGATGTAAAACTGAATTTCTGGACAGCCCTCAGTCAAACTAAAATTGTGAAAGTTGCTAATTTTTCTTTATCTTAACATATGCAGCCTACTTTCTAAATGCAGTCACCTTAAAGTATGGATTTTTAGCTCCTATCCAAGAGTGCTAGTTATTTGTAGACGAGCAATGAAAGAATGGAATGAAATACAGAAAGGAATGTAAGTGCCAATTTTGTTGCATACCTCTAAGGATCTGCTTACTGTCAGGCAGATTAGAAATGAATGCCATTACACAAGCAATCAAAAAACCCCAAAATGAACTATTAAACCCATCAATTCTCTAACCTCAGTTATATTTATAGAGAACAAATCATTACCTTCTCATTTGCCAGTTCCAATAACTTAGGAGAAAGAATGATGATACCAAAGTCCAATACTGAATAATAAATGCTAGTCAGGCATTATAAAACTAACAGTAATGAGTCTGCTGGTCAAGACAGTGTTGAACCATTATTTATAAGACTTTGCTCCACCTTTAATATTTGCTCCCCTGACCCACTTATTAAGTTCTTTAAAACAGCTGATTCTTCTACTTCCAAGGTCAGACACTTAATAATAATAATACACTTTATTTTATATAGCACCTTTAAAGGTGGCTTCTCAAAGCGCTTTACAGGATGACAACAACAATAAATAAGAAGAATACACAAGATAAAACAATTACAATATATAGAGGAGACTGTGGATGTGGTACTAAGAAAAGCAGAGGGGTGAAGAATGGAACCAGTTAAGTAAAGGCTTTTCTGAAGAAGAGGGTTTTGAGTCTGGATTTGAAGGAGTTTAGAAAAGGTGAGTCTCTGATATCCTTG